TCTCTCTCTCTCTCTTCTCTCTCTCTCTCTCTCTCTCTCTCACTCACCCGCTATGCTCTCGCCTCTTGGTCCATTCGCATCTCAATGAAAGTCCAGATGACTTTTGCCGCGGGAGATCGCGAGGAAATCTCTGTGTAGCGTTCATCTCGCGAGCTTTTGAATATGTACGAGGTTAGAGATGTACGAATTTAGAACGGGATAGGTAAACAGATTTAATCAAGACCTCAACGACGTGACACAATCGGCGATGATATTTTTCTCAAGGAGAATCTTCTGGAGAGAGAAAAGGACAGAAGAGGAGTATTCGTTTATACATCTTCGTAAGAAGAAGTACAAGTTGGAGGAATAAATTGGAAGGAGCAATTAGTAATTTCTAGTTGAAAGTCATTGCCTGAGGAAGGATTAAAACATAAAAAGCTCGAATAGTGTTTTAAAACAAATTTATTTTCAATCGTTCATTAGATGCGCCAATTGCTATCGATGTACAATCTCATTATCCGTAGCTCGTATGTCATTTAAGGACAGTGAATTTCTTCTTTAATCACTCGTTCAAACTCCCATTCATTTAGAGATATCCTGATGTATAACGCATTCGCACTATGTATTATCGAAGCGTGTCCTCTTTCGCATCATACAGACATAGACATGGGTATTACTAGGATGGCGATGTAAAACTCCGATTTATCATGCGTTCGATAGCTTGTTTTAATGTATCGCGCCGACGGAAACGTTGCAAATACTGGCGGACTAAAAAAAAAAGACGGAGCTTTTACTCCAATTTTCAAGGATGATAGATCGTCCCCGTATTTCAAAATTGGAGCGGAACGCGAACGTACGCTCTCGGCTCGGCGATTATCGTGCTCTTTCTTTTTTGCTCGTGCGACGTTACCCGTGCTGCGACGTTATTTCTGCCTTCGCGACTGACTCATCGACGTCTCGGAAAGAAATGACCCTTGGTCGCGATACCGTCGGCTTTGCATGCTTATCAGTCTGTTTAGCGCATCGGAGACGCTATCGGAAAAAATGTATGTTCCCGTACAGTCACAAGCCGGTCTCAAGTTCGTCGGTGGGACCTTCACTCGCGCGTCTTCGACGCGCTGTTTATTTCGGATATGTTGTAAATTTTTTCGATTTTAAGACTTATTGAATTTGCATAATACACAGGTTCAGGATCTGATTGTTCGCTCTTGAACAAGATTCAGAGGTCTTGCCATTTTTCAAGTGAGCGGCTAGCATGTCGGATGTCCCAGAAAGTGTTAAACTCCAGAAATATGTTATTTGCGTAAATTTAACCAGATAATTCGAAGCGATATGCTTGAGGCCCCTTGATTAGGAATTCTTATCTCAATATTCTCGCCGAGTATCTTTTGTTGCCTATGAAAAATAATTAGTCATTTAAACTTCAACGTTTCGTGTCATATAACGGGAAGAGTAATGCGATAAAACTGACAACATGCAGTAACCAGTGCGATGACATTCGATCTTCGCGTGGTTTTCTGTTTTTTTTTTGTCTTTTTTTCTTTTTTCCTTTGTCGTTTATAACCGTTTGCACGACTTCTTCTAGTTAAAGCCACTTGAGGCCACCATTTATAAAGTCTGGCAAGTTCCTCCCGCAGCACATCGTGTGAATCTACCGCGTGCCTTCTCTCTTTTTCCTCTTATCCCATTCATAAAGCAAGAGATATTGAAAAAGAAACGGCAAGAACAATTTCGCTTTTGTCGGCGAAAAAGAAAGAGGGGCAGAGGGAGAGAGAAAGAGAGAGATTCTCTCTCGCGCCGGGGAAGAATTCACCTGCTGATCTAAGTCGCCATTTGTATTGTCCGCGTATATTGCGGGAACATGTGGCTCATAAAATCGTATCGCGTCCAGCCGTTTCCATTCGAAGATATTTCCGTGCGCGCACGCGGATGCGGATAAAAACAAATATGAATGGCAGCGATACCGGCGGCAACGTTATACGCCATTCGACCGCGTCGTTTAAAAGGTTAATGTCGATATCCCGAACGAACGTAAATAAACATTTTTAGCGGCGCGACGACACTCGGCGGGCCGATCATTCCGGCGAATCGGAGAAAAATCACAGTAGCCACGAGAGGGGAAGGTGGTTCGTCTCGCGCGGAATCGTCGACACACTTTTCCGCATCCCTTTCTCCCCCTTTTTCTCCCTCGCGAAACGCACTATTTGATTAAAATTGTTTAATTAAAGGCGTCCAGAGGAAGTAGTTCCGTCTTCATTCCGAGTTCGACGGTAATAGGAAGCGACATCCGCACTCGAGGTAAGATAAAGCGCCCTTCGTCGCTTTATTATCTCCTCATCTAATCATTTCGCGACAAGAATCTTACCTAGAAATGCAACGCGCGCGAAAGGGGCACACTAAATTATACCGTCAGGTGGAGTTAACGACAAACGAAGGTTTGTATGTGTAAGAAGCCGTCAAGGTCGCTTCTTCGAACGAATGGTTTTACGGGTTTTAGTGTTCGGCAAATAACATTTGCCGCTTAGTTTGGTATACGAATATGGTTTGCCGTTTAGTGGCTGGTGTATTGATGCAAAAGCCAGGCATGTTTGGACAGCATCTACCCAGCGGAAAAAGCGAAATGGGTTTACCGGTTATATGCTATTTTGACCACAAAAACCACCTGGTTTCTACAACAATTGAAGCAACTGGTCGCAAAATCACCTTCATTATTCAGCTCTCTGACGAAATGGTGAAATACTGAAGATTCTTTCAACAACTTTAATATTTTCCGGCTCTTCGAGTCTACGATCTGCGTTCAAGGTAAACGACTCGTAAAACCCGGTATCTTTTTATTGTTCGTTTCCAAAAATATCTGTTAAGTCTCTCTATCGAGACTTGCATTAAACGACATATATTAATGTGAAAATTAACGAATGCCAAGTGCAACTGCATTCTAATCCTTACAATTTGCGGATAGCTCTATAAAGCTCGTGATTTTCTGAAGGCCTCTGTAAATTTTTAAGACATGGGGAACAAAAGGAACTTGATGCGCCAAGTTGTATTTTATATAGCGACGCGACAAGAGATCTTACAGCTTCGCTCTTTTCGTTCAGAAGTTTTGGACAATTTCGTTTGTGACGTTAACAACAACTTGGACGCAGGTATACTCCGTGACTGACCGGCCGTTTCTCTCGCGTGCGTAGCCGCATTCGCCAACGCGGACTGTCTCGGCTCGAAGGTCGAACACTTTCGAGCGTCAAGCGCGGGTTCCCGGCATCAGTGTTCGAAAAGAACGGCAGAGAAGCGGATACTTACATCTTATAGTGGTGCTGCATGTGATGGCCGACTAGGTGTATGTCGGTGGCGTGTTGCTGCTGCTGCTGCATCTGCTGGTGTTGCTGCTGTTGCTGCTGCGGCTGCTGCGGCTGGTGCACACCCTGATGATGGTGAGTCTGCGGGGGGTCCAGGCTGGATGCACCCAGCAGGGTAGCGCTCTCCCTGAACAGCGTTGCCACCTGCATCCTGGCTGTGATCGCGTTGTCGGTTTCACCGGAAGTGATTTGCCGTCGGCCGGCGTCGCGACGTCGCACGCGTTACTTTTGTATTCGGGTCTCGACGTGCCGATAACGAGGATAAAACTTGTTTTAGTTAGGATACAGACGAACGTAAATAATCCCTCTGTAACGCGAATATAGTTTCTCCGTGACGACGAAAGCCTACCCTAAAGTCCCCGCGCCACACCACCACCTGGATCGATACCGGGATTCGAGATCCTTCGAAGGGTATTATTGGGATCACGGATGATTTCTCGAGAAAGGTCTTCCGATCGTAGAATGGTTGCGAATATATGACCACCTTCGTATCGATGATTTTCTTCTCTTAAGCTTCCGATTATCGCAACCACGAATGTTCTGAACGAATGATATCTTCTGCTGTCTCTCAATTGTTAGAATTGTGAATAATCACACAGGATGTCCAGTCTTCAGCGATAACGGTCGAAGAGTACAGTCATCGGTTACTCGGATACGGCTCTCGCTCGCAATGTTTCGCGAACGACACCGATGTGACTTCGCCGTGACTTTGCAGGGCTTCCGTTGCAAGTTCGATGGACTTTCCGTCGCAAGTTGTTGCCTCTCTCTCTTCTCTCTCTCTCTCTCTCTCTCTCTCTCTCTCTCCCCTTCCCCCTTCGTTCCGTCTTCTTCTCCCTTGTGCTTTACTGCATTTATATTATCGTCCCTTCACCCGCGACGCGATGCCGCCTCGAATTCGCGCACTCCGTGTCGTCTGTCATGTTCTCGCCGCGGCAGTCGCGCGCACCTTTTGAATTACGCGCACCGCCCGCCGTCTCGCCGCACCACCGTCGGTGCGATACGGTGTAGTGCGGTGCGGTGCGGTGCGGTGCGGTACGGTGCGGTGCGGTGCAGCGCGGTGTGGTGCACCCACGCCCCGTTAAAGGCAGCCGCGCGCGAGGGTGGCTGGCGTGTTATCGCTCTCGCGCTTCTCGCGGCGTGTGCGTGCCGGTCGTGTCGCGCGCGGAGCACGACGTTGCGCGACGTTCGTTACACGTCTGTAGTACGCCGTCGACTCTGTCGCGGCCGCTGCTCGCTCCGATAACTCGCGATACCTCGCGAACACGTCACGAGCGCCGAAGCGGCGTACGTATGTACACTTACACGCTGCTGCGTGAATCCTTCCGCGAGGAGGAACTTGTTCGACGGTATACGCGCGCACGCACCGTGTTTCGCGGACGACTCGTCGACTTCTCCGCCGCTCTTTTTGCGTTTCTCTCCTCCGTTCTCGCGAGTTCCTCTCCTCTCTCTCTCTCTCTCTCTTCTCTTCTCTTCTCTTCGACTCTCCTCGTCCCTCCGCCTCCGCGGCGACAACTCTCCCTCTCCGTCTCTTCTCTCTCTTCTCTTCTCTCCTCTCGTCGTAGTAACACGCGCGCACACACACACCGC